CAATATAGAAAAATTTTTTTTTCTTTTTATCTCCACTCGTGAGATTAGTGCAATTTAATAAGAGTCATTCTGTCGTCTTGATTCAGTGTAAACTGACATTTCATCCTTTTACTCTTCATTATTATATGGGAAGGAGGTTTATGACCAAGCATGCAGCAAGTCCATTTCCCCATATTGGTCTGTCTAACCACTCAGATTTATCCACGAGAGCTGACGTGGCCAGCCCTGGGCAAACCAGCCTCACGTCACTTCTTTTATGAGGCAGAAAAAAATGAGTCCAGCCCTTGAAGAAATGAGGCTGGAGGGTGAAAAGGCAGCGAGTGGTTAACAAGCCCCTTGTCTGAGCCCCAGGACTGATTTGTTCCCTTTGTGACGGCCAAGATCGTAAGTCAGAAAAGGCAGGGCCAGTGCCAACAGCAGGATGAACATGGGAGCCTCCCTGCCTTTTTCGGGGACCTAACGGGGACAACCCCTGGGGCACATGGTTCAAGAAAAACTTTTGAGAGTTCAGCTGTCCAGTGGAAGCAAAAATCTTATTTGTGACCGTGTTTTGTCTTTATGTCCATAAACATGACCCAGTATATGTCACTGCTTCAGTTTCAAGCATTGGCCCTGCATGCAGCCGTCTTTGGTTCAATCCCTGACACCCCATATGGTTCCCTGATCCCCACCAGGAGTGATCCTGAGCACCGAGCAAAGAGTAAACTCTGAGCACTGCTGATTGTAGCCAAAATAAATAAACAAATCGATAAATGTTACTTTTTTTTTTTTACGGGCACCTCCCAGACCCCACTGAGGGGGAAGTGCATATAACACTCACCTTCTGAAAACTCTGAAAAAAGAAAAATACCAATTCTGAAGCCAGCAGGAAAGATGGTGGCCTAACTGAATAAAAAAAATCAGAAACCAATCTATATGCCCATCAATAAGAAACTGGTTAAATGCCAGATTGTGGTCATTCATGACACAAAATTCTATTGGGACATTAAAAATGGAATGGGCGACTCATGTTTATTGACAAGGAAATAAGAGTGTGACATATGGTTGAATTTTCTTTCTTTTTTTTTAATGCAAGAGTAATGCTATTTAATCAGCCATTGATTAAGCTGATTGAATTGGGCATGAACTCCATATTACTTTTTTTAAAATTTTTTTTAAAAAATCTTATTTTTATTTCTTTTTATTCAGATACGGTTGGATTTTCAAAAGTCAGTCACAGACTAGAACACACTTCTGACTGAAATACACAAAGTTACAGTTTCTCTAAGTGCTGGGGAAGAGCAGGGAGGTAGCGCCTAAAATGCCACTCAAGGTATGGGGACCCCTTCTTTATGCCGATAATTTTGGTTATTTGAGATTTTTTAAAAGATGCTTATCAAGAAGTGACAATCAGAGTTTCTTGCAAGGGTATGGATGGAGCTTCCTGTATCCACATATGGATGGACATGCATCTACTCAGACACCTCCAGAAGTCTCTGGAGGGCCCAGAGCACCCATAGGGATGCAGGCCCAATGCCCTGGGGTAGGGTTGACTCAGGTAGAGAGACAGCCCGGCACACCAGCAGCTTCCAACCACAAGCAGCCAACTGAGTCAGGGTGTGTCCTGAGGCTGGTCAGTCTCTACAGGGACCTCTACTCTCATATAAGTCTTGCTCCAACCTCGGCTGCATCAACAGAGGCTGACTGGAGCCAGAGCAGTAGTACAGTAGGGAGGGCACGTGCTTGGCAGGCGGCTGACCAGGGTTCGATCCCCGACATCCTATTGGATCCCCCCTGGCACCACCAGGAATGACTCCTGAGTGCAGAGCCAGGAGTGAGCCCTGAGCATTGCTGGGTGTGGCCCCAAAACCAACCAAAGAAACAAACACCAAACCAGAGTCTGAGCATCGAGAAGGATGGAGAGAATCACAGCTGACAGAGTGGAGCGTTAGGGGGCTGAGATGGCACGAGGAGCCAAGACTTGACTTCAACTGGAGGATCCAGTGATACTGCCTGGTTCCTCACTTCCCAGTACCACAGGGAATGACCCCCAAGCATGACCTGACCTGGAGGTAATCCCAGCACTGCCAAGTGTGGTCCCTGAAACTCACACCCCTGCACAAAAAAAAAGTCCAGGTTTTGACTTGGTATATAGTCCCTGTTTGCACATGAACTAGCTGTATCTGTTAGAATTTCCCTCACCTCTCTGTATTTCTGCAGTCCCAGAAGTAAAATGGGTCGAATGACAAATCCCATGCCCTACAGTTATGACGATTAAATGAGATGATAAGGGAACTGGAGATACAGTACAGCAGATAGAGCGTTTGCCTTGCATGCGGCCGACCCAGGTTCGATTCCCAGCATCACATATGGTCCCCCAAGCATCTCCAGGAGTAATTCCAGAGTGCAAAGCCAGGAGTAGCCCCTGTGCATCGCCAGGTATGACCCAAAAAGAAAAAAAAATGAGATGATAAATAAAGAGCCAGGCGCACAGTAAAATTTCACTAAAAAGCACCTAGCTCCCTCCTTTCTTTCTCTACAAGCCCGCAGTCATGTGGTCAGACCTAGCGATGCTCGGTGACTAGTCACAACGGTCCAGCTTGTGGAGAAAGACCACCAGCCAGGGGCGGGAAAGAGCAACACTCAGGAAAAGGCGCTCGGGTGGGAAGTGACCCATCGTCCAGTAGCAGAGGGCTGGCCCTCACAAGGCCCAGGTTCTCTATCACTGTTCTTTGTGGACTTGTCCACTGAGGTCCTGCTGAGGAATCCCAGCCATGCAAGGCTCGATTGTCCAGACTTTACTCTAAGTGAGAACCAGCTGGTAGAGATTGGAGATAGATGCACAGAACAGAAGCGAGAACTGTCCAGTTGCCAGATTATGCTCCTCTTGGAGCCCCTCATCAATGCAGGTTGGAACCGGCCCTGAAATCCAGGTGGGACATTGAGACTGTCACTACAAACAATGACTGGGGGAAGGAAGTGAGTTCCCTGAATCCAACGCCTCAAGCAGGCATGGGGGGCCAGAGTGAGTGACAACAATGGTGAGGGCACTTGCTTTGCATGTGGCTGAGATCAATCCCTGGCTACACCTATGGTCCCCTGAGCCCCACCAGGAAAGCTCTCTGAGCGCGGGGCCAGGAGTCAGCCCTGAGCACCATCAGGTATGTCCCCACACCAAAACCCAACAGAAAAACTGGCTTAAAACTCAGCCTTTAGATGCTCCTGTGGGCTCAGAACAGCCAGCACTAGTGACCTTCACCCTGTGGGTAGATCTTGTTGTGCAAACAGCTATGGGCTGATTGCTCAGCAAGCCTGAGGTGAGGGAGGGGGAGGGGAAATGGGCAGCCTGTTCAGAAGCAAAAGAGAAAAGCAACCGCCAACAGGACAGTCTCCTGGCCAACGGAGCAAGCCCTCACAGATGCCCCTGTAACTGAATTTCCTTCTCCAGAAAACACACAGCATCTGGGACCCCAGGCTAGTTCACTACCCACTTCTGCATCCAATGCACTATGAACACACGGGTACCGAAGTACATAAACTGGGGACCGCACCCTCAGCAGGACCCTCTGGACATCACAGGCCCATGGCAGGTCCTGGTCTGGGTTGCAAGAGACAGACCAGGGGCCAAAGGGCTCACTTCTGCCAAGGCGACTCCTACAGACCAGGACCATGGAACATCCGGTTAGCACGTGAGCTTGACACCCAGGTCCTCAGGGTTACTTTTGTTTGTCTAGAGGCACCACCGGGCCCTGTTTCTCATCCTGGTGCCCTTCAAATCAGTGGAACCCATGGAAGTAAGAAATTATTGAAAGCCCAATGCTGGGAATTTTTCAAGACACCCAAGCAGATCCAGGAACCCAAGAGTCACAAAACAACCCAGACTCAGAGCAAAATCACACCCAACAGCCTGGCTTTGCCCCCAATGTGGGTAGGGGCTCCGGTGAGAGGAGGGAGAAGGATTCGAACTAGATGTTTCCAGTCCAGTAGAGGGGGGTAAGATGATGGGGGACCAATAAACCCCCATTCCTGGGCACTGGAGCCAGGATGTGGCAGATGACCAGGGGTGTATTCTAGAGGTGAGGGAGTACGGGGTGATGCCAAGTTGATCAAGGAGCTCTGCCACCTACTCCAGGCCAGCTCAGAGCTGGACAGAAAGTGGGCTTCCATGCAGGGCTCCGAAAGCAACAAGGCCGAGATGCAAACCAACCACTGACTATAGAGTGGGCAAAGGAAAGGGAGAATTTGTGGGCACCTGGGGAGAAGGGGCCAGGGCAAAGGTCACTCAGCCCGACTGTAGAGACAAGGCGCAGCCACTGGGAGGGGTGCTGGGTGGGTGGGGGTGGGGCAGGTCTGTCCCTGGAGCATCAGCCTCACTCAGGGCCATAGACACTGGTACTGTCAGCCCAGAGGAAGGTCTAAGTGCAGGATCTATCCCGGTGTTCCCTTCTGCTTTGGGAACACAAAGGTCCCCAGGAGCCCCCAGTCTCAGCTGTTAATCCCCTGAGCCTCTGTGGGCAACCGCAAAATTGAGTCTTCAACCAAAAAAGCCAAGGGCAAGCGTGGATCATGTGACCCTGGATATCCACCTGGACCGCATGATTTTGGGTATCTACCTGGACCGCATGACTCTAGGTATCTACCTGGACCACGTGACCCTGGGCATCCACCTGGACCATGTGACCTGGGTATCCACTTGGACCATGTGACTCTTGGGTATCCACTTGGACCACGTGACCCTGGGCATCCACCTGGACCGCATGACCCTGGATTTCCATCCGGACTGCGGGATCCCGTGTTTGTGCCTCAATGTCACCACCAGCCTCAAAGAGCCAAGGGAGAGATGGGTAATGGAGACCCACATACTCTGCACACTCCCCCACACCGCACCCCTCCACACCCCACGCCCCCCACCCTCCCCACCCACACTGGTGCGCACCTGGACAGCAGCTGCCCAGCACCAAGAACCCAGCATGCGCGGCGCCCACTGCCCCCGAGTCCTGGCCCCTGGGATGCACACTCACCACTGGAGCAGTCGGGGCCCCCCCAGCCGGGTTCACAGTGGCAGGTGTCTGGCGAGACACAGCGTCCATGCACGCACTCCTCAGTACACAGGGCTGTGGAGAGAGGGGAAGAGCATGAGCACCACCCGAGGGCCCAGTCCCAGGCGCCGCCTGCTCAGTCACTGAAGGAATTAGAACATGAATCCATCCTGACTGGGCTTCCTCACAGTCGCCCTCTCTGATGCCCCGCCCCAACCCAGAGAAATGGCAGCTTGTGGGAGCTTACAAACCATCCCCTTCTTGCTCTACCCTTGCAGAGAACCCCCACACTCAACCCAGCCCACAGGCCCCTAAACTACCCACAGACCCCTGACCCTACCCACTAGCCTCTAAACCCACCATAGGCCCTTGAACTCACACACCAGCACCTAAACCCACCCACAGGCCCCTAAACCCACCCACAGGGCCCCTAAACCCACCCATGGGCCCCTAAATCTATCACAGGCCCCTAAACCTACCCACAGGCCCCTAAATCCACCACATGCCCTGCACTCACACACCAGCACCTAAACCCACTCATGGGGCCCCTAAATCCACCCATGGACCCCTAAACTCATCACGGGCCCCTAAACCCACCACGTGCCCCTGCACTCACACATTAGCACCTAAACCTACCCACAAGCCCCTAAACCTCTCCACCCGCCTCCCAGGTTTTTTCCAGTCTGTGTGAGAGCTGGCTTTCACTTTTCCTCCTTTCTGTGTGCAAAGGCCTTGAAACTTCTCGGAGACCCAAGGACCAGCTTGTCGCCCGTCTCCCACACCTTTCTGCCCTCCTCCCCAAATGTCCCTATTTTGGGGCTCTCAAATGTCAGCAAATCAGCAAAGCACACAAATACTAAGGAAAAAGCAACAGCTAATTATAAGAAAGTAATTAAGAGAGACATCCACGGTGATGATAATTGTAATTAGAAAGAGCCTGGCAATTTCTTATCACCCCGTCAGACGCCCCAGCCGTGGGTGCGGGGGGCTGGGTTCCCGCCCACCACATATTGGCAGCCGCCTGCGGAAGGGAGATGATTCCTCTCTTCCGTCAACACCCACCTTTTCTCAAGGTCATCCTCTGCTCCCCAAAGACCCGTCCCACCACCTGATCCCTCTATGAGGGGCTACAGACCCTCCCACCCCCTGCAGCCCCTGCAGTTGGGTAAGCAGGGAAGTCAGCAGTGAACACCAATGCTGTCCACTTCCTAGAATCAAAATGAAGCCACCCCCCTCCCACTTCTTAATCCTTCCTTTCTTTCTTTTTTTCCCCCTGACAGGGAATTAGAGACCTTTTCACTGTAGGAACTGGTCTAGGCCAGGGAAGTAGGGGGCCTCTCTGGTGAGTTTTGAAAGGCCGCCGTGCCCACTGCCTGGCCTGGATGCCCGCAGAGAAGGCAATACCAGGCTGAGCCGCCCAAGTGCGTGTGATGTTATTGCAGGGTCCACTGGCCCCTCTGTATCCCTTGCATTGGTCCGAGGATAGGCTGACCTGGAATAGCCTCTTTGTATGCCCTTACCTGGCCTTCATAAGCCTGGAATAGGTGTATATGTGTGTGTGTGTGTGTGTGTGTATGTGAGTGTATGTATATGTGTGTGGGTGTGTGTATATAAGTAAATGTGTTTGAGTCTGTATGTGTGAGTGTGTGAGTCTGTGTGTAGAGTTTGTGAGTGTGTGAGTGTGTGTATGTGAGTGTGTGAGGCTGTGTGTGTGAGTTGTGTGTGTATGAATGTGTGTGTATGTGTGTGTGTGTAGTCGGGGTATTCCAGCACATTCTCCTATATACAGGTGAGTTAAGGTTTTTTTATTTGGTTTTTGGGCCACACTGGTGATGCTCAGGGCTTACTCCTGGTTCTGTGCTCAGAAATCACTCCTGGTGGCACTCAGGGGACCACATGGGGTGCTGGGAATCAAACCCGGGTCAGCCACATCCTAGGTAAGTGTCCTCCCCGTTATACTATCTCTTCAGTCCCTATCGGTGCTTCTGGGGTCTGGTTTGTGCCCCACCCTTGTGGCTCTGACCCACAAGCTCACCTATTTCCTGCAGAGAACCAGGGGCTCCACGTCAACCCACAATAGCTGCTCACCTGCTGACTGGCAAGACCCGACCAGTCACCGAGGCCTCCTCTCCCCACTCCCACTGACCTTCCACACTGCCTCAGATGGTGACACAAGTCACTGGTGGCCCTGGCTATGCCTGGATGGACTCCCGGCTTGGCACCCACCTCCTCCCCTCCCCCCACCCATGCTCAGCCCCTGCCTGCTCCCACACCTGGTCCTGGGGGTCTGCACAAGCGCACGCAGCCAGGTCGAGAGCAGCGTGAGGTCGGCCGCTCTCCACATACTCGGGCAGAGCATCACCCACGAGTGAATTGATTCCTGGACCTTAACCTCGCGATACTTCAAACCATACACCCTACCTGTACTCCAATATTACCGCACAACATTTGATAGGGTTCAAAGTAGGAGGCAACCAATCTTAGAGGAGAAATACACGTTTTATTTTTATAGACACACATATATAAAAAGCACACAAGGCTCAACCTTTAACATGTTAGTGATCTCTTATAGAAGGGCTTAACGGCTCCTGGATGAAATACAACAATCTCCACACTCTTCCCTCTAAGGATATTTTTTGGGGGAGCATTTTCAGTGGTTTTTCATAACAAACAATACAAAATATATTATTTCGGTTCTGCTTTGGGGCAAGGATTGGGGTATGGGATGGAAACACCCAAAATTTGGTGGTCGGAAGGTGTAATAATGGTGGAACTGGTGTTTGAATATTAAATGTAATCAAATATTGTAAACTATTTTATAAAATAAAAAAATTAAATAAAAAAAAGAGAGAAAGCAGCGTGAGGAAAACACACTCCACCCCCAGTGGAGAAACTGAGGCCTGAGTGCAGGAGGGAGTATGGGGCGGGGGAGCCGGTATACAGGATGAGCTCTGGGGTGCTTCAACCATGGGGCCTTCATGCTTTTGCCAGACGTTGGACAGAGGGCAAGCGCAGGGCTGCTGGCACTCACTTGGCAACAAAGGTAGGGGGCAGCTTCTCCCTGAGCTCCCCGAAGGGTGGTGCTGGGATGCGGAGCAGCATTGAAGTAGGAAGGGCAAGCAGTGAAGATCAACACACGTCCCATCCCTGCCCCGGGGACCTGGCACTGGTCTGCTCCTGCACCCTCTCCTGGCCGGAGAATGGGGCTTGCGGGGGCTCTGACCCCACTGCTCTCCTCCCAGATCCCAGTACCCCCGGGAATAATCCAGCAGGCACCACCGCTCAGCCGATGCCCATGTTGCATCTGGATGCCCCTGCATGCAGAGGACAGCTGTCCCCCCACCTGGGCTGCTGTCCCCTCCTCACCACAGCACCCGGAGTTCTGCCCGGGCTGTCGGCTTGTCCAAACCTCCATGCATTCATATTTCATAGGTGTTGTTTGGACAGTGTTGTTGGAGGCATGAAATATTGATGAGCAAACAGCCAAGGCTCAGCGAACGTGTTAGGTGATCAGGCTATGGGGGGTGGGGGCAGTCCCTGGTGCTGGAGGCATATGGGGGTGCTGTGGGAGAGCGGGCAGCGCCTCCTTGAAGCCCCTGACTCGTCCTGCCCTCCACACAGGTTAGCTGCAGGGGCTGAGTCAGGCCCTTTCTCTTCCTACTCTGCTCTAACACAGGCGTCATGGCAGGGCGCCCTCCCCACACTGCAAACTCATCTGGGGCACAGATGGGCACTCGGAGGGGGGCGATGTGCCCAGCTTGGGGTTAAAGTCAGTCACCACCCTTGGCCCAGTGCAACAGAGAACCAGGACCTGATCCTTCTCTTGCTTTATCCTTTATGTTCAAACTTCGAGGCGCTCCAACTTCCAGGTTTTTTGACTTCTGGGTGTTCTAACTTCCAGTGCTCCAACTGCCAGGTGCTCTAGCTATCAGGTGCTCTAGCTTCCAAGTAATCCAACTTGCAAGTGCTCTAACTTCCGGGCACTCTAGATTCCAGGTGCTCTAACTTCTAGGTGCTTTACCCTCCAGGTGCCAGAGCACCTGTAGCCGCCGCACCGGGGCTGGGTGGCTGTGAGCAGCCACACTCAGAATGCTAGTCTGGCCCCAGCGAGGCCTCTTGGGCCTTCTCCATGGGGACAAGTGACCTACATCTCCCTGTCGCTCCTGCTCTGCTGGGTGGGGACAGGAACGAGCCGGCCGTGTTGGGGGCTCTGGAGCAGGTGGCCCCAGTGCCACGGGAGGGGAGCTTCTGTGCTCTCCTCCATGTGGGCAGGGGTGCAGGTCCCTGGCTGGGACAGGCTGCAGGACAGCCCCACCGCTACCTGTGTTGACAAGGCCAGTGACGCTGATGTGTTGAAGCTAAACGCCATTTTGCTCTGTTGGCAGGACCTGGGAAATCACATCACCTTCTTGTATCAATTTTTTCATCCACAAAATGGGGATAATAGGAGTACCCACCTCACAGGTGGGTGCAGAATTTCTACATGATGGAAATTCTACATACAAAGTGCTGATGCTGGAGCACAGGAAGTTCTCAGTAAGCAAGAGCTGCACTTATTACACATGTGCATACACACACGCCCACACATGCACATGTACATGTGTGTGCACATGCACACACACATGCACACACATGTACGCATACACATGCAAACATGTATGCACACACATGCACACATACACAAGGACACAAGCACAAACATGCTTACACACATGCATGTGCGCGCACACGCACATACACACACACACACACACGGAGCTGACAGCAGCTTCCTTTGCACCACTATTCCCTAGTCACGTGCTCCCTGTCCATCCCCCAGACAGTTCGGCCCTTCACGGCCGTCCAGCGCCTTGATGCCCTCCTGCCCCCGACACAGTTGTTGGGTGTTTCTGGGTCCCTGGGGTCAAAGTTGGCACAGGGAAGGTCTGTCTCAGCCTCACAGTGAAGTCACAGTGTGTCCCCAATTGCTGAGGCCTGTCCCTCAGCTGGGGCTGTTTCCTGGCCTGCGACAATCAGGGGCTAAGGAGCCCGGGGTGGGGCCAAGGGGTCCAGACGTGGGTGTGTGGGAGCCAGGA